GGCTTCCTGTTGGGGTTTCCTTGGCCTCATTCGGGCCATTTCCTTCCCCAACAGAGGGACCTGAACGCAGGCTGGTGCAGACATGGTGCCCCTGCTGCTGCTGCCCCTGCTGTGGGGGGGGTAAGTGGGCCAAGGGGGAGCGCTGGCGGGCACAGGTGGGGGTGTGCCGGAGCCACAGCTGAGCCTCGGTTTCCCCGCAGGGTCCCTGCAGGAGGACTGGGGGTACAAGCTCCAAGTGCAGGACACGGTGACGGTGCCAGAGGGTCTGTGTGTGCACGTGCCCTGCGCCTTCTCCTATCCCGGGAGCTTGTGGTCTACCCGTGAGAGGCCCTACATGTACTGGTTCCGGAGTGGGAGTGGGGACAGCTCCCATAACTCTCAGCCTGTGGCTACAAATGATCAAAAAAAAAAGGTGAAGACAGAGTTCCGGGACCGGTTCATCCTCGTCGGGAAGCCCTGGGAAAACGACTGCTCCCTGAGAATCAGAAAGGCCAGGAGGAGCGACCAGGGACTCTACAGGTTCCAAATAGAGACATACCATGGGAGATATACTTACAGAGATAAGCAGCTGAACCTGCAGGTGGCAGGTATGGCAGGGGCCCCAGGAGAGCTCTGGGATGTGGAGACCCCCCTCTTAGAACAGGAGCAGGACACTGGAACATTCCTTGCTCCAGGTCTTGGGGCTGAGATGGTGGGAAGAGACATGGGGGCCTGAGGTCAGCCTGTGCCCTGAGGCCCTGGTCCCTGTCAGGGTCACACTCTGGGTCCCCAGCTCCCTGGGGCCCAGGCACCTGCGTCTGTCCTCCTCAGCCCTGACACAGGAACCCGACATCCATTTTCCGGAGCCCCTGAAGTCTGGCTATCCCACGAACCTGACCTGTAGTCTGCGGGGAATCTGTGAAGAAGGAGGACCTCTCAGCTTCTTCTGGATGGGGGGTGTTCTTGATCCGCTGGACCCCCAGACCCTCCACTCCTCGGTGCTGACCCTCACCCCGAGGGTGCAGGACCATGGCAGCAACCTCACCTGTCAGGTGCACCTGCCAGAAGGTCAGGGCACCGTGGAAAGAACCATCAGGCTCAATGTCTCCTGTGAGTGCTGGAGGGATGGCTGGGTCCCTCAGGGCAGTGGGGGGAAAGGGGCTAGTCCTGGGATCCTTTCTCCAGAGGAGATTGGGGGAAATTGGAAAGTTTATCCCTTCCACTTATGGGGCTCCTGGAACAAAGGGCCGAAGCCCACCCTGCCCCTCACCACATCTTCCCTCCTCAGACGCTCCACAGTTGATGACCACGCGCGTTTTGCAGGGAAACTACTCAGGTAGGAAAGATCTTCTCACCTGGGGTTGTGATGAGAAAAGGGTCTGCCTGCTCAGAGCTCAGGGCTTAGAGATGAGACCCTCCCTCACTCAGCCCCTTGAGTCTCTCTCTGTCCACCCCCCCACCTCACCAGGGTCTTCCATTGTGGACCCAGGATTGCTTTCAGCTGCTGCCTCTTTTTTCCCTCTAGTTTGTGTGTATTATGTATGTTTCATTTTAATTGCATTCTAATCAACATGTACCAGTATTAGTTTTTGGTAGACAACATAATGATTTGGTATTTGTTTGCACTGCAGAATGATCACCACAGTAAGTCTATGTAACATAGTCACAAATTTTTTTCCTTGTGATGACAACATCTGACATCTACTCTTAGGGACTTTCAAAGATACAGTCTAGCACTATTAACTATAGTCACCGTATGTGTTACATCCTCAGGAGAGGAAGTAACTTATTTATTTTATAACTGAAGTTGGTGCCTTTTGACCTCCTTCCTTTTTCCATTAGCTGTAGAATTTATGGTTGTTTTCTTTTTAAAATGATTTATTTTATCTCTTCACCTTAGAGAGATGGGGGAGAGGGGCAGAAGGGTAAGGGGAGAGTCTTTTTAAAAAATATTTTGTTTATTAATTTTTTTTAAGATTTTATTTATTTATTTGACAGATCACAAGTAGGCAGAGAAGCAGGCAGAGAGATGGGAGGAAGCAGGCTCCCCACTGAGCAGAGAGCCGGATGTGGGGCTTGATCCCAGGATCCTGGGATCATGACCTGAGCCCAAGGCAGAGGCTTAACCCACTGAGCCACCCAGGGGCCCCTTGTTTCTGAATTTTTGAGAGAGAGAATACACACGAGTAGGGGGAGGGTCAGAGGGAGAAGCAGGCTCCCTGCTGAGCAGAGAGCCGGAGGCAGGACTCTATCCCAGGACCCTGGCTGGGATCATAACTTGAGCCCAAGGCAGAGGCTTAACCGACTGAGCCACCCAGGGAGCCCTAGAGCTTATGTGTCATTGTAATAAAACAGACACAAAGTAAAGCTTACTGTCTTCACCATGTTTAAGGCTAGAGCTCAGCCCCGTTGGAGGCTTTCAGTACGGCGCCTGCAGAGCTCTCTCCAGCTTGCGAAACCGAAACTCTTTGCGCACCAGACACTGACTGCCCAACCCCTCCCCCAGCCCCTGGCAGCCACCCTCCCGCCTCTCACCTTCCACCTCTGTCTCTGTGAGTTTTGCAGCTCCAGGTTCTGCTCCCCGCGCTTGAATTTCTGTCTGCACTCTTTCGTGGCCGAGCTCGTCGTCTTCTGTTGGACCCTTCCATGTTCTCAGTCCCCATAGCTCCAGCCTGGACCCCTGTTGCTCTCTGTGTCCACTTTCCTGGGCATCCTCATTCTGTCCCCTGTCTCCTCCTGTGACCCCGTCCCTATGCTGACCCTGTCCTGGTGCCTCCCACAACTTTCTAGCCGGTCATGGGTCAGATGTGCAGTTGCCTCTTGCTGATGCCTCTCTGCATGTGCTACCCAGTGGCGGGTCTGGACCCCACGCTGGGTAACTCCCCTTCTCACCAGCTGCACCCATGAGTCCGCGAGTCTTGAGAACTTCATTTCCCAAATCATTTCACTCCTCTTGCCTTTGGCCCAGGCCAGCTCCAATTTTCTCCCGGGCCCTGGACCATTGCCTCAGCCTCCTGCTCAGCCTCCCTGCCTCCTGTACATCTCTCTGTGGCAGGCCGCACTTGGCCCAGCTCTTTGTAGACCCAGAGCTGATTCTGCATTTCCCCTGCTCATAGCCCCTACCGCTTCCCAGTAACCTCTGGGCAAAGCCCAGTGCCCTCAGCCCGGCTCCAGAATTTCTGACCCTGCCCTCTCTCCCGCTTTGATCATGTCTCTGATGCTCCCCGTCGTCCCCGCCAAGTTCCAGGGGCAAGTGCACTTCCCCCATCTGCCAGGCGGTTTCAGTTCCTGGCACATCTCCGCCAGAGCTGCCCACTTTGGCTCTGTGGGAAGAGGGAGGGAGAGATGCCTCTCTGGGCTCCACCCGCTGGTGGTGACTCTCTTACCCAGTCCCGAAGATGCTGAGCAACGGCATGTCACTGCCTGTCTTGGAGGGTCAGTTCCTGAGCCTGGTCTGCATCGCTGACAGCAACCCCCCTGCCATGCTGAGCTGGTCCCGGGAGGGCAAAGCCCTGAGCCCCTCCCAGCCCTCGGCGCCTGGGGTCCTGGAGCTGCTCCACGTAGGGGTGGAAGATGAAGGGGAATTTACCTGCCAGGCTCAGAACACGCTGGGCTCCCAGCACATCTCCATCAGCCTCTCTGTGCGCAGTGAGTTGTAATACAGGTTTGGGGAGGGGGCAGCCTGGTCAGGTGTTTGGGGTGTGGAAGGGACTGGGGTCTGAGGACAGAGCTTCAGCCTTTGGACTTCCTTCCCCAGGTAGCCCCTCTTCCTGCAACTGTGTGACTGAGAAGCAGGAGGGCTCCTGGCCCCTGGTCCTCACCCTGATCAGAGGGGTCCTCATGGGGGCTGGCTTCCTCCTCGCTTATGGCCTCACCTGGATCTACTACACCAGGTGAGCGGGCCCATCCCTCTCCCGGGAAGTCTGCTGACTGGCCTCGAGTTCTGGGTGGGGCTGAGCCGTCCCATCCTGCCTGGAGTTAGAACTACATGGCGGCTCTCTGATCTGAGACCCGCGTTGGTTCTGCAGGTGTGGGGACCCCCAGAGATCGGGGCCGAGAGGCCTGAATGAGCCTCTCTCCTTCTCAAGACGGGACTGAGGTGTGGACCTGGAGCCCAGGGGGACAGATATGAGACGTCATGGTCAGCTTCTTCCTGGAACCTCTCAACTCAAACCTTCTCCACTGTACCCCTGGAGTTTAATTTGGGGAGGTGAAGGAGCGATGACACAGAGAGGCCAACACCATCAGAAGTTACTACTTACGTTTCCCAAGGAAACAGGGTATGCCACGCCATGCAGGGCCATGCGGGAAGAAGCACCACGTTTTGGCTGGGAGGCAGAAGCAGGTACAGGGGAGGCCTCGCAAAAGCCTTTCCTGGGGTTTGTGTGAGAAAGACAAGGCCAGGAGTATAGTTCAGGATCAGCTAGTCTTGAGTAATTCTAGGGGGCCTTGACCTAAAGGGGTGACTCTAGTTGTCTGCGACCTGTCCTTGGTGATTTAGGGCAGGGTGCGTGGGTTAGAGAAAAGTGGTGTTTGGGGCGTCTGGGTGGCTCGGTTGGTTGAGCATCTGCCTTCAGCTCAGGACATGATCCCATGATCCTAGAGTCCCCGGATTCAGCCCCCCTTCAGGGCAGGGAGCTTGCTTACCCCTCCCCCTGCTTGTGCTCTCTCTGTCTCTCTGTCTCTCTCTCAAATAAATAAATAAAATCTTTTTTTTAAAAGGGCATTTGGGGGACACGTGCTGGGGATTGGTTAGTTTGATCTGAAAGGTGAGCTCCCGGCAGAACTCTTTGCCATCTCTAAAAACTGGCTAGCCCTAGGAGGCGCCATCTCTCCCCAGATGGCAAGCTTTTTAAGGAAAAAAGGAAGTAAAAACACGCCGTAGCTGATGCCCCCTTGTTTCTGCCTAAGGCCAGTCTCCATCTGCTCAGTCTGCCTCTCTTTGCTGGCTCTGCCCATCCCACCCCTCCCACCCTCCTCCTCTCCATCCCCAGCCCTGCCCCTGTAAGGGAGCTTACTTCCCATGACCTGCTTAACCCCTGAGTTTCTGGTCTCCCAAACTTCCCTCTCAGTGTAGACGACAGTGCATAATAGAGTCAAGAACACAGCTTTTCTTTCCCAGATGAGAGACACCTACCTCATAATAATTGCTACAGAACATCACATTTAATTATAAATAAAAGTTTTATTAAAGATGCAACATAAAAATTAATTTTACTGTTTAATGCCTCTGTGGAAGTTTCAAGAGCAAAACTATGTCTCAACCTTCTATCCTTTTTTTTGTTGAACACGGTCTAAAGAAGACTTTTTATGTATTCATTGTGTTTGGAGGTCTAACTTAAATTGATTAAATAATCAAATCTAAGGAGTGCAACTAGATGAATGCTTACCTGTGTGCACACCCTTGCTTCCAACACCGAGTTCAACATACAGATTCCATTCCCCTCCCCCTGGGGGTCAGGTCCCACCACTGAGATGGGAAGGATAGGCAGCGGGGGCAGGCAGCTTTGGCGGAGATGGGCCAAGAATTGAGACCCCCTGGCAGATGAAGGGGAGCACACCTGTACCTGTAACTTGGTGGGGATGACCGGGAGCACCAGAGACATGATCACGGCAGGACAGAAGGCAGGGTCAGAAAATTTGGAGCCGCGAGCGTCGTGCTGAAGGTGTTGGGCTTTGTCCTGGGCTCCTTCAAGTCAGCAGAGTCACACGCATGCCAACTCCCTCTTTTCTGTCGATACAGATCTGTATTGCCAATTTTGGGGCGCTATGTAAGTGGACTCAAGCATTACATATGCATTAGGGTCTGAATTTTTTCTCCCAGTTTTACATTTTTCAGATTTATCTATATTGTTATATGTATCAATAATTCATTTTTGGTTTTGGTATTGTTTTTGATTTATTTTTAAATTTTATATAAAATCAATTACTTACCATATGGTGTAATATTAGTTTCAGAGGTAGAGTTTAGTGATTCATCAGTTATAAATAACACCCGGTACTCGTTCCGTATCGTGCCCTCCTAATGTCCATCACCCAGTTACCCCTTTCCTCCAGCTACCAGTTACCTGCTCCGGCAAACTTCAGTTTGTTTTCTATGATTATATGGTTTGTATATTATGATTATATGGTATATATTATATTATATATTATGATTATATGTTTTCTATGACTATATGGTTTGATATTATGGTTTGTCTCCCTCTAATTTCATCTTGTTTTATTTTTTCTTCTCTTCCCCTATGATCCTCTGTTTTATTTCTTAAATGCCACATATCAGTAAGATCATATGATAATTGTCTTTGTCTGATTGATATATTTCACTTAGCAGAATACCTTCTAGTTCCATCCATGTCGTTGCAAATGGCAAGATTTCATTTCTTTTGATGGCTGCCTAGTATTCCATTGTATATATATACATCTTCTGTATCCATTCATCTGTTGACGGACATCTGGGTTCTTTCCATAGTTTGGCTATTGTGGACATTGCTGATATAAACATTGGGGTGTCAGTGCCCCTTTAGATCACTATGTTTTTATCCTTTGGGTAAATACCCAGTAGTGCGATTGCTGGGTCGTAGGGTAGCTCTATTTTCAACTTTTTGAGGACCCTCCATACTGTTTTCCAGAGTGGTTGCACCAGCTTTCATTCCACTAACAGTGTAGGAGGGTTCCCCTTTCTCCGCATCCTCGCCAGCATCTGTCATTTCCTGACGTGTTAATTTTAGTCATTCCATGTGTGACTATCCTCCCAGTTGTTTATTCTAAATTACAATGACTGCATTTGTTTCTGGTTTTTGACTTTTGAGAGAGATAGCAAGCTTTTCAGAGAGAGAGCAACATTCCTTGTTCACCAGGACCATAGAACCACAAGTGAACAACAATACGATGAAATCATTCCAGACAATTCCCATTTGTCTTTCGAAAGCGCGCTTTGTCTAAATCTCCCTTTCTGGGGTGCCTGGGTGGCTCAGTGGGTTAAAGTCTCTGCCATCGGTTTAGATCATGATCTCGGGGTCCTGGGATCGAGCCCCGCATCGGGCTCTCTGCTCTGCAGGGAGCCTGCTTCCTCCTCTCTCTCTGCCTGCCTCTCTGCCTACTTGTGATCTCTCTCTGCCAAATAAATAAATAAAATCTTTAAAAAAAAAATATATCTCCCTTTCTATACAGACTGGGGGAGAGGGACTCCAGAGAGTATAGTCATGTTAATGAAATTCACGGCTTTAAACTGTGAACAAGATGGTTCTGGGTAAGCGGTTACGGACACCAGCAGACAATAAAGAAAACTTCAAACCCGGAATAGCATGTACCCCAACAACTGGACGGCTCCAATCCATACTTTTCATCTGGATCACAGTGCAATTGTTTGCTTTCCAGTTAAACACATTGCCAAAATCTTTCAAAGCAGATTTCTGCTTAGAAATTCAAATGAAAACGCTAAATCATAAAAAGCCTTGGCTTATTATATAGTTTCTGACAGGCTCCAATATTCTGGGTGCCAGAAGGTAATTTTCTCTCAGTTGCTAGTGAAAAGATGAGTCTTGTATACACTAGAAAGGTGATGTTACCAGATTCTAGTGTCACCTGTCAAAACACAAATATCTTTAAAAAAAATATCTAGAAAAAAAAATATCTAGAATGCAAGTGTCAGTAAACACTCACGATGAAGGGCCATCAGAATTCAAAAGTGAGAAAAATCCACATAAATTAACTCTTACTAATCTGAGAAATCAATATAGTGTATATGTAAATTGAAAAACAGTCTGGCTAGTCATTAGTTTCTAGCTAACTGATGAGGTCGTTCCGGCATATATGTGCTCTTCCTGTGATATTTGTTTGTTCCGGCAAGACTCCAAGAAGCCCTGGCCCCTGAAAACAGCTCAGCAAAAGGCAGCCCTGAGGCAATTGCTTCAAATTTGCCAGATAATATGTCCCAAGATTGCAATCATCACTAACAGGACAAGGGCCAGAATATAGATATTCTTGTGAGAATTTTTTCTGATAGTAAACAGCGTGCTGTAACTGACCAGCGGTTCTGTCTGCGCGCACCTTTGAGCTTTCCACACTGGCTTCTCTGCTGTCACTGGGTCACCTTGGTCATGGATCGTCATGGCCAAATCTTTTTCTTTTTTTAACATTTTATTTATTTGGGGGGGAGCACGAGTGGGGGGTAGGGTCAGAGGGAGAAGCAGGCTCCCTGCTGAGCAAGAAGCCTGATGCAGAATTCTATCCCAGGACCCTGGGATCATGACCCAAGCGGAAGGCAGAATAAGCTCCTTTTCCTTTTCAGCCATTCTTCCCTGCACTGCTTGGAAATCCTTCCCGCTCCAGAGAAGTCACTCAGGAGGCATCTTTCTGAAGTTCCCAGTTCAGTAATTCATTTGTTTCCTTAGCAAGCTGATTGCTGGAATATTCCAGCTGTTGCAGATTTTCCTCTGGTTGCTCCAGTCCCACTTACTTCCTCATTGGCTCATCAGATCCTTTTTTTTTAAATTCCTTTTTAAAAGACTATTTATTTACTTATTTCTATTTATTTATTTGAGAGAGAGAGAGAGAGCGCGCGCGAGCGAGCATGAGAACAGAGAAGGTCAGAGGGAGAAGCAGACTCCCCAGCGGGGCCGGGATCCCAATGCAGGACTCGATCCCAGGACTCCAGGATCATGACTGGAGCCAAAGGCAGTTGCTTAACCAGCTGAGCCACCCAGGCGCCCGGATCATCACGATTCTTTATCTGAGTGGTGGTTCCGCAGATCTGCTGGATGCGGCTGCTGTGGGTCTGGATGACTGTTGAAATCCTGGAGCTGGGGCTCAGCGGGCTCTGGGTGTGATCCGTGTCCAAGGACATGATGAAGAACTAAGACCCCAGGGCCCTGCAGGGCGTTCCCCGAAGCAGCCCCGGGACTGGACGCATAGGCTGATGGCGAACTGGGAAGAGAAAGGGCTGGGGGAAGGGGTTGAGGCTGGCCACATCCTCCCTGTTTCTCTTTTCTAGCTGCTCTAGCCCTTCGCTGACCTCACTCTCGATTTAAACGTCATTTGGAAGATGTTCACGTCCAGATTCACATCTGGACAAGCATCCCAGCCTTTGGGGCGGTGGTCTTGATGTTCTCACCTGCTGTGTCAGTTGCAGACGTGAGACATGGTAATTTCTCAGCCCCTTCCCCCCCAGTGCCCGGTGCTGCCCAAGTTCCCTTTCTGCAGTGACCACAGCTCTGACACATGGCTTCCTGTTGGGGTTTCCTTGGCCTCATTCGGGCCATTTCCTTCC